CATAACATAACTTAACTTGATCATTTAGACATTAATTGTTCGAACAAACTCGATCATAGGCAAAGATAACACGGCGCGGCCGTTGACACGCACCCCACGTGCGGTCCTTGGCTTTAAGCCAATTTCTCGACCGAACCTTCGATTTACCCAACAAATCCCACTTAACTGGACATAAGACACTTAATAAGGGCTAAAGAAACAATAAACGCTCGGGACTTGCGGGTATAAAATGGGAGTAATTCGGTACTGCCTTACTTACGACTTAACCAAACACAACATGAATTTTCTCAGAATTTCTGAATTTAAATCGAACTCATAACCTTATTATGGCCTTACTAACCAGATTACAAGATGAGGAGGAAGTTACCTCGTCAAACGTTCGGCTAAAGACGCAAGGTAGGTGTGATTTCCTTAGCTCCGCAAACGACCTTGTTCGTGTGTATTATGCTTTACTTGCCGTGCGATGTTTATGGAAAATTTAGGGTAATGGAGTGAACTTATGTGCTGCTGAAGAAGGATAATATATGCTGAAATTAGTGGTGCAAAATCGGTCCAAACTCATGCTTAAATACTAGTGGTCGTGGGATGGTGATGACGTAGATGAGATGTGGCTTCTTGGGAGCCTTACACTTGCTAATTATTGGAATAACCATTTATGACTAATCCTCCCCAAATTAATCCTCCTCATAACACGTGTGATGGATTGAGAAAAGGGAGACATATTTGTTTGGTCCCTTCACTTAAGAAAAGGTTATGGCTTTAGTACATTTATTGGGGCCAATTTCAAGTAGTGCACGGCTTTGGACATTATTTCTTTAACTTAGAAAAATTTTTGGTGAACTTAGGAACTTAATATAAGTCCATACGGCTTTAAGCCCTAATATTGGATTAATGCTAATTAATCCATTTCCTTATGTTTAATTATTTAATTAAACATAATGCTTAATTACCAAAATTATTTCGAACGTAAACGGTACGTCGAAAATAAATTTCGGTAATCTCGACTGAAAAATAATTAATTCCAACAATAATAATTAATAACATTATTATATCGGAATTGAAAACATAAATTATACTGATAAAATATCGGGATATTACAATCCTCCCTCCTTACAAAATTTCCGTCCTCGGAAATTTAAAACATAGCTGACATACATGAACTATGTACATAGAATAAAGAAATGTACATCAAAATTGAAAATCTGGGAAGCGAGCGCGAATATCGGACTCTTCCTCCCAAGTAGCTCCGTGGCGATCCCACTGAATCCGCACGAGGGGAATATCTCGCTTCCGGAGCCGACGAACCTGACGGTCTAGTACAGCTACCGGTCGCTCCTTGTACGACAGATCTGGCTGAACCTGAATATCCGCGTGAGGAATGACATGATCGGGGTCGCACACGTACTTACGCAACATAGAGGCGTGGAAAACATTATGAATGCCTGATAACTCGGGAGGTAGGGCTAATCGATACGCGACCTCGCCTACTCGCTCGAGAACCTCGAACGGACAGATGAAACGAGGGTGCAGCTTCCCTCTCTTTCCGAATCGCACAACTCCGCGAATCGGGCGAACTCTGAGAAAGGTTGGCTCGCCAACCTTGAACTGAATATCTCGTCGATGATGATCGGCGGAAGATTTCTGTCGACTCTGAGCTGTTCTGAGTCTCTGCCGGATCAACTCGACCTGCTCCGTTATCTCCTCGATCATCTTAGGACCGAGTACTCGCCGCTCTCCGACGTCGTCCCAATATAGAGGGAAACGACACTTGCGACCATAAAGTGCCTCGTAAGGAGCCATCTGAATTGAAGAATGATAGTTGTTGTTATACGCGAACTCGGCGTACGGCAACAGTGACTCCCACTTAGCACCCCTGTCAACAACCAAAGCGCGAAGCATATCCTCAAGCGTCTGAATGGTCCGTTCTGACTGTCCGTCCGTCTCCAGATGGTAGGATGAACTGAACTCTAGCTTCGTGCCCATCGCCTCATGTAAACTGTGTCAGAATCGACTGACGAATCTGGGATCTCTGTCTGATACGACCGTAACGGGCACTCCGTGGAGTCGGATGATCTCACAGGTATATATCTCAGCCAACTTGTCCAGAGACATCTTCATCGAAACGGGTAAGAAATGCGCGACCTTAGTCAATCTGTCGACCACGACCCAGATGGCGTCGTGATGTT